CAGTGATTCACTTATCAACTGTGACAAGAAAGGTCATAAAAGGAGCAAAACTCACTTAACCGCTGTTTTGCTTATCAACAGAAATGGGGGGCTAACCTGCAAAGGTCTTCAAGCATTAAAGGATCTTCAAAGCAGTGACATAATTTAATGCTCACCGTAATTATGTTTTGACATATTCTTAGTAAAAAAAAAAAGTCATTGGAATGTTATCTTTCACGCAGTTGACTTCTTGTTCTTACTGTCATTTAGTTTTATGCAATAGTACCTCAAACGCTCACGTTTTGCCTCATGCCTGCCCCCATCTTTTAGCATTCTGCAAGCCTGCATTCACTCTTAATTTGCTATGGCTGCGTTTGCCCTACAAATACATTCCTAAGCAATCTTGAGTAGTGCCACCTGGAGAGAGAGAGAAAGAGAAAACCAATAAAGCTTTCTCATTTTTTTGTCGGTAAGAAACATTGATTATAAAAAGCCCTGCTGGCATGAAAGAAAATTGGGAGGTTTAATTCCTTGATCACCTAGCAAGTCTGCTCCAGAGCAATGGTTTTCTGATACTAATGGTTTCAGGAAAAGTGATTGTTAAGGAGGGCTACAGGAAGAAAAAAGTTTTTCTTTGAAACAAAAACAAACCTTTTTAATTCTTCCCAGTATCCACTACGGATGGCTGATTTCCCGCTACCGGATGGCTGATTTCCCGCTGCCGTTGAAAATGGGAAGTCAGTCATCTCTCTAGTGGATCACCTTGATAAATATTAAGTGGGAGTCTATGGCATTGTGATTTACATGTTGCCCACAGCATATTAGACTGGGGGTTAATTATAGATTGGAGTTTAATTCAAAGTATACTTCAGACGAACATATAAATGCTGAATGCTTTCTGCTGCTTCTTAGCCACAGTGACATGGAAGGAGAAGCAAGTTCAACAAATTTATTAAATTTCTTTCTCATCCTGTCACTTAAAGCAAGAGAAAGATCCTGATTATGGCAAACCTTCATCCCAAAAGTTGCTATTCTTTCCTTGCATGAAGACAACAGAATATGGAAGCCTTTGCAGCATATTGATATTCTTGATATTGTAAAGCTGCAATACTTAGATGTTCAGAACTATCTACATCTCTACAGGGGATGGAGCTTGCATCATCATTTTGGTTTTATCATTTCATCAGATTCTGTGGACACCTCTTTAAGAAACTTCTGTAAATGAACCTTTAAGGGTTTAATCTGACTTTCATCCTATTTAGCCTTCTAGGTAGACTTTGTTTAATTTTTGTGGTTTAATAGAAGTAATACCACACTGAAAAATGCAGCATCTATTATAATATTCTATGCAATGTTGACAAAGTTCAGATTGATAAATATGCTGGTGCATTAATGAAAGGATAATTAATTAGAACAGAAGTCTCTTCCATTGTGATATCTTAAAGAATAAGGAAAATCTTAATGTAGGTTTAGGAAAGGTAGAATAGTATTTCCTTGCATCAACCTTATAATTGTATTACAATTCTTTGCTGTCAGTTCAGAGCATATGATTTGCATTTTACATTTCAGCTTTATCCTGTGATGTGATCTAGGGTATAGAACTAATATAATTTTAAGGCATATACAGTATATAACTGGAAAATGAATCCCTTTGAAACTGATTTATATGGAGATAATATATGAAATTGGATGTTTGAATTTAATTTGTACGTGACCATGATGTAGTTTTCATGATACACAGAAAACATAATAAACATGCTGTTTATATAAGCTAAATTGATGATGATGATGATGATGATGATGATGAGATAAGGCCCAAATAAATCCCCTTTCCCAAATCTATAGCATCATGTAGAACAAAGGAAATTGTAACAATCATTTATGGGGGTGGGGATACGGCATTCATAACCATAATTTGGGATACCTATAGTATGCCTCTTTGTCTTGAATTTTCAATAATTTATTTTTTCTTAGTTGTTAGACCTTTTGAGGAGCTTTCTACACAGACTGCCTGCTTTTGTAGCAACCATATAAAAATATGTTAAAACAACTGTAACATTAGCATCTTTGAATTATCTATGATTTAATCTTTTGAAGTTAAAAACAATCTTCAGATGCTAAAAACAACTTTTTATGCTGAATGCAGGGGAAAAATATAAGGAAAAAGAAATTTCCATTTTCATTATTCAGTTTTAATTATTTAGGTGATTGTGTCTTAAAGAAATTAAGGCAATTCAACTTGTATGTTATTTGCAACCACTCCCAAGCCATTAATGTTTGCTTGTAGACTAAGATATGAAATAATGACAGTAGATTGCAGAGCAATTGACATTTTCATTGCTCATTTATTTTTGTATTAATAGGAGTGTATCCATTAGCATGCATGACTGTCAGCCCCTGACAGTTTGAAAGATAAAGAGCAATGAGCCTTTGTATAATCATTAAAGTTCTCTCTCTTCGTGTAAATTATTTACTTCAAATTGATGAATTAGGGAAAATTATACTGGAGTAAATTGTTTATTTATGCATTTTGGGAAACCAGAAAACAACATATAAGTTACTTGGAGTTACCACTCTGAAATAGAATATAATGAAGAACTGCAATTATATGATCAGTCCATGTATTTTTATATCTGAAAGTATGCGTAGGAAAAGTAATAGAGGAATTATGTACTTTTGCATATTGTCAACATTTTTAGATTTTTATATTTTTAAGTAAGCAAACTCAGGAAAAGTTTATTTTAACGAAGGAAATGTACTATATATTATATAAAGTAAATAATGAACTTGGTTTAGCAACTTGGAAATTGGAATTTAATATCTGAAGATTCAGATAATTTTAAAAATGTTCAATAGAGAATATAAAATTATGAAATTAAATTATAAAAATATAGTTCATTTTGCTAAAGAAAATATTTATTAAAAGATATTTAATGCAAGGGATCATAAGACTTTATGAACATGATTTATAAACTGCCATTTATTTTGATATTAACAGAGCTCTTACAGAATATACGGTAGTTGCAATAATATTTAACCAACAGCCTATTAATGTTGTGAAATATCTTGTTGCTAACGTTGTTATTACTATTCATCAATTATTTTTCTTGAATATTTTCTTTGTTTAGAAGTAAAAGTTGATTGTATTATAGAAAACTAATGTAGTAATGTATTACTGCTGGCTATATCTTCTGGGACAATTGAAATAATCAGTTCAGGATTGTCACATTCTAGTGTACAGAGGCTGTTGCTAAACCATGTCTGGTTTGAATAATTTTCCCAGCACTAACTTAAAAAGAAAGTATTCTATTGATTAATTTTCATGGTTCCTGACACCATTAGTGGTTTCCAGTTTATACATTCTCTGTACCTAGAAGTTTGAAATCATTATTACTGTAAGAAAAGGAGATAAGTACAAAACGATAGGTTAAGAAGATGTATTTTGGTTGAAGCACTATTGACTTGGATATACCGTATTTTTCGGAGTATAAAACGCACTGGAATATAAGACGCACCTACCTTTTTGGGTGAAGAAAAGAAGAAAAAAAAATCTCCCGCAAAACAGCTGAGAGCAAATCAGCTGAGAGTCAGGAGGCCGATCCAATCAACTTGTGCTAATCAGGTTGTTCTGAAAGGAGCTGTTTTTTCTTGCTGTTCGCTTGCAAGGAGGTAACTGCTGTGAGGCAGAGGCCCAAGGGTGGCGGCCAAGGGTGGGCTACATTTGGTGTATAAGACGCACCTAAATTTTCACGCCCTTTTAGGGGGGGGAAAGGTATGTCTTATACTCCAAAAAATACGGTATATAAAGTATAGATCTTCAGAAAGGTTTTGAATTATATTTAGTTTATAATACAGATGATTTTGACTTGGTAAAATAAATATTTATTTCCAAATATTTGTATGGAAAAGTTTTTTTTTAATGAATTGATTGCTTATATGCCAGTATATGCTTTACCGCCTCTCACAGTATGCCTGCCTTTCCTTACTATGATAGAAAGATATCTGCTTGCTTAGTCTCCTTGCAGAATTACAGTGCTGACTGCTGCAGGTGTAATCTAACATCTCTTCACCTGGATTTTTAACATTTACTTAAACAGCTGAATCAGTGGTGAAATTTAAAATTTGTTACTACCAGTTCTGTGGGCATGGCTTGGTGGAGGGATAATGTGACTGGATGGGCGTGGCCAATTTTTTTTTTTTTTACTTTTAAAACCATTTTTTCTACAACCTCTTCGGCTGAAGAGGTTCTTAAAAAAATGCTTTTAAAGCCTCTGACGATCCCAGCTGACTTGCCAGATCGGCAGAGGCTTTTTTCCCTTTTAAAAACATTTTTTCTATAACCTCTTCGGCCAAAGAGGTTGTAGAAAAAATGCTTTAAAAGCCTCTGACGATCCCAGCTGAGCCACGCGATCATCAGAGGCTTTTTTATTTTACTTTTAAAAGCATTTTTTGGGCCAAAGAGATTGTAGAAAAAAATGCTTTTAAATTTTTTTAAAAAAAGCCTCTGATGATTGTGCGGCTCAGCTGGGCAATGGGGGGTCAGGGATTTTTGCTACCGGTTCTCTCCAAACCACCCGCCTCCATCACTACCAGATCCTGCGATCCAGTCTGAACCAGGAGCATTTCACCCCTGCTTAAACAGCTGAATATTATTGTATATGTGATGCGTGCTTATTACCTGCTTCTAAACTGCCTTAATAGTGTGGTTGAACATAACGAAAATGATATAGTGCCAAAAAGTATCAGTTCTATCTCTCACTGATTAATATAGTTGGATTTCATATAAACATGTATGATCCCTGGTCAGGTAAAAAGTAAGCAAAGGTACTATCAGGTAGGGAATAAAAGAAAGGTGTGTTTTATCATTTTCTCAGTTAGATTTTTTTTTTATTTAGAAAAGAATTCTGACTATACTTCAAAACAGTCAGTTACGATCATTTCCTCTTGTATTTTTAACTTTTGAAGGAGAAAAAAAAGCTCTAACTTTTTATATATTCTACTTTTTCTGTCCTTCCATATAGTCTGATACTTACCTTTGCATGTCGCTGCGTTTGCCAGTTGAAGAGGAAGCTTATGTAGGTGAGTAGTATTTAAGATTCAGAAAAACATGGTCAATTTTATATGAATCAGTCAAGGTTTCTGTGGCTTCTCTATAGCTTAAACTTTTCCATAGAGTTCCTGCAATGCATTCATCATGCCTAATATAGAAGCAAAACTAGAAGGAACCACTTAAGATGGGTAGAACTGCATTTGGAGAGGCCGGTGAGTATAGTACTTAAGGAGTTTCATGTAGATGCTGTTGGCAGCTGAGCCCAAGCATTCTCATTTGTAAAGCATTGGCTTTCTGTCTGTGGCTGGATATTTAATTCCACTCCATTGCACAAGCTGTTTATTTACCTGCTAGTTCAGGCTGTAAATCTCTTTGCGCTTACAATAAGCATTGGCACAGTAAGTTCTTACCTATCTGCAAAACGTATTTGCTTTATGTTGAGGTAAGGATGAAATGACAGGTAAATGACAAGCCCTACCACATCACTGTATCAATGTTTAATGTACGTAACTAGACCAGTGAAGTAAGCACCATCTGCTTATCAAGTCGAGTCCTTCTTAATTTTTATTTCATTCCCCTTGCAAATATTTACACCTACTAAGATTCAATAGTAAAATGGAAATTTATGACAGTCTGAACCCAGGAAAGTGCTATTTGTAGTTTGAAAATGTATTGGTAAACTTTTAACACATGTAAAGTGTTGTTGAGTGCTAAAATTTTAAAATAGAGTGAAAAGAATCCACTTACCTTGCAAACAAATCAAATAACCAGTAAAAGACATTTAAAAAAAAACATGAGGGAGATGAGTGCTCTAGAAAGGTGAGAAATAAATAAATAAATAAATAAATAAATAAATAAATAAATAATCCTATTATTTTAAAATTTTTAATAGTATAGTTACTAAATTATAACTATATGTAGATTGAAGCTTTAAAGAATATAATTTGGGTTCAGGTACCATAGGTTTGGTAATGCAATGAAGAATGATGGCTTGATTTTTTTAAAAAAATGCTTTTATGAAAAATAAATGCCAGCAGCTTGTGCTGTGATAATAATTTGATTGATATGGCACTTTTAGATTGATTTAAGGTTGAAATATTTTATGGTATGTTTTGCTTCCTTCCTAATGAGTGAGCTACCACAAAGTTGTGGTTATCCATATGCATATCGGAACTCCAGGTTCAAATTTCTTTTTAGCCATGAGTTTTATCAGTCAATTTAGGATAAACTGAAAGACAGAAAATAATTTGTCTAAGACGGGTGAAATCTAAAATTTTTCCCTACCGGTTCTGTGGGCATCGCAGGGAAAGGATATTGCAAAATCTCCATTCCCACCCTACTCCAGCAGAAGAATATTGCAAAATCTCCATTCCTACCCCACTCTGGGGCCAGCCAGAGGTGGTATTTGCTGGTTCTCCGAACTACTCAAAATTTCCGCTACCGGTTCTCCAGAACCTGTTAGAACCTGCTGGTCTAAAAGCCCTGTTACGATGAATGCAGGAAATTTTCAACTACTTATTTATTTACTCAGTTTCTATATCTGCCCAACTCAAGCAAGCGATTGTGGGTGGCAAATATTCATAAAACAGTTGAAAACAATTATAATAAAATACAAATTTAAAATATATGGCTGGCAAGAAAAATGGTCATAGATATCAATATAGCCAGGGAACAGGACCCTTCGCACTCTTGGAGCCCCAGGCCAAAGCTTCAAAGCCTTATGAAAGGCCAACAGGGTCAGGTGATCCTGAGGAGAGAATGTTGCTGAGGGCAAGACCTATAGTACAGAAAGCACCTCTCTTAGTACCCACCGGCTGACATTACTTGCCCCACTTGCCAAGCAGAACTGGATAGTAAAAACCAGAGGAATAAAATGGTAACCTGGTCCCAAACTATGAAGGGCTTTAATGGTGACAACCAGCACAAAGCCAACAAATGCAACTCTCACAGCAGTGATATTACATAGACATAGACATAGATTTCTTTATTGGCCAAGTGTGATTAGACACACAAGGAATTTGTCTTTGGTGCATATGCTCTCAGTGTACATAAAAGGACAAGATACATTCATCAAGAATCATAAGGTACAACACTTAATGATACTCATAGGGGACAATGTTCTGTTACATGTGTCTGACACCATTTACTCCCTGTGTCCCCACATTTTGCCACATAATTCTTTGAAGGAAAAATAATAACAACAGCAACAAGAACAATACAAACATTGAATAAGCATTGTGATCTCAATAGGGATTATAGACAAATATTTTTGATTAGGCCCCATAGCAAAGGAGCAAAATGCTACATGTTCAGTACAGAATTTAAAGGTTAGGCCCTGGAGATCTCAAACCAATTAGAAAAAGATATAGTTGGGTCTGATTCAATATAAACCTGCTTCATTTATTTGTAATCTGTGTTCTCTGCATATTCTCCAGAGTCTGGCAGGAGAATCCTTAAGAAGTAGTACATTTCATTTGGATAGATATATGGTGACTGTCAAACTGTTAAGGGGCATTTGTGTTTTATATTGAAAATTATTAACCCTGACAATAATAGAGTGAATCTTGAATACATTAAGATTAAATTCAGGAATATTTCTATGAATGTTAATGTCAGTGACTGAAATATATTGCTTAACCACAGTGGTGAGTTTTAATGGGTCCTGATTATATTTTATTTGCCTGTGTTGTGCCTAGGCTGAATTTTAAATGTTTTCTACTTCTACAAGCATATTCATACAAAATTCCATTACAATTTTAAATTAAGATAAAACTGCTTTAGATAATAGTAAATAATTACACTGAGCATCAGAAGTCATAGAGGTAAACTGAAATACATAAAATATCAAATTGCCCAATATTCTTTCTTGTGCCTTAACCAGTAGACCAAATTACCCAATATTTATTAAGATATCTATTATCTTAATAAAATATGTATCTATTTTTCCAGTAATTGCCAATTAACTTTTTATATTTTATTAAAAAGTGAAAGTCATATAAGGCAAAACTGGCATTTAAAAAAGAACATAAAAATAATCTACACATAAAGGTAAGTTACCAACCACGGTTATAAATTCTTTGCTGAGAACACATAATTGTATTTTGTGCCTTTTTTCCACAGAGTTTTTGCAGATGTTGCATACAATTAATTGTGTGTGTGAAAAACTAGTATTTCTCCATTTAGCATTTTGATATTTAATTACTTTATAAGGGCAAATCAGAAAGCTAAAATGTATTTGCTATATTATGCAGGTCTGGTACAATCTGTTGTTTATTATTGAACTGTGGTAATAACTAAAGGCCATTCTACTGACACTGAGAAGTATTATGTCTGAAAGCAAGCCATTCTGCCAGAGCTAGAAAATTTATCTGCTATTCTACGTCCCTGATTTTCATGAACATGCCCAACAGTACATAATGTATTTTTTCCCTTGCTGGCTGATAGTAATCCCCATTTGTCAACAATTCCATATAAACTGTATTATACAGTAGATGAGAAGATGCATTGCTTGTTTATTTGGATTTACAACTGCAGAACTGTTGCGATAGATATCTTACTGCAGACTGAGATTACTTTTTTTTTGAGCAAATACATTTACTTTAATAAGTCTTTAATATATATATATATATATATATATATATATATATATATATATATATACATACATAAGTGTACACACACACACACACACACAAACATGCATACATATAGATAACACACATACATACTTTGGTGGGAACAATTTATCATAACTTTTGTAACGTGAAAATGAGTGAAGTTATCTGATGTGCAATTCTTAATTTGCTAAAAAAATAGACCTAAAAGAAATAAGGTACATAGAGAATTAAAAGCAGTTGAACCTCACTATTAAAGTAAATAAGAAACAAATGATATGTAAATTATAGATACAAAAGGATAAACTAAAATACTTTTCTTGAGCTTTTAACATAAACCCAGTATTAGGACAAGTAGCAAAAGAGGGTAATATATAAATAGTGTCATTAAACTAACATTATTTAATTTTCAATCAAAATACTGAGTTGAAAATGAAATCGTTTTACTAAGCCATAGTATTTCCTAAGCAAGATACAGAAAGCACAATTTCTTGAATGCTTTCCAGACTTTTAATTGCAGGTATGCCTTAGTTTATATGGTTTCAAAGTAATAAAAAACATACATTATCAGATACATCCCTTTCCCCTGCTTCATCAGCCCCACTCCTCCACAAATACCATATTTTTCGGACTATGAGAAGCCTCCAAAGTATAAGACGCACTTGCTTTTGGGGAGGAAAACAAGAAAAAAAAATCTGCCTCTGCCTCCCAGCAGTTTGCCTCCTTTCAGGAAACAGCAAACAGCATGACCAGCTTCAGGACAGCCTGATTGAGCACAATCAGGTGATTGGTGGTTGGATTGGCCTCCCGAAATACCTCCTATCAGCTGTTCCAGGCTGCGGAGATTGCCACTGCCCATCGGTGCTGGCACTGCCCATCAGCACTGCCATCTATCGCTGCCTCCATGTGCCCCATTTTCAGCCTCTGCATGCCCCATTTTCAGCCCATTCCAGGCGGCAGGGATCGCTGCCGCGGCCGCCTATCCCCGCCACCTGGAATGGGCTGAAAATGGGATGTGCAGAAGCCAAAAATGGGGCACATGCAAATTGCTGGGAGGCAGAGGCCGGCAGGTGGGGGCTGGCTGATGGGGGTGGCTTTGGCAACATTCACTGTATAAGACGCACAGACAATTCCACCCACTTTTTTGGGGGGGGAAGTGCATCTTATACTCTGAAAAATATGGTAATTTAATAGTGCTTCATAGCCAATCTAAATGATTGAAATTTCCTCTTGCAAATGTACAGGTACAGTATTGGTCAGTAAGGTAAAAAATTAATAATGTTTTTTTCTAGTTTCACAATATTTAAGGTTTTTTTCAAAATGGAGATAGGTAGGGAGTTAGACACAGAGAGACATAAAGTTTACACCTATAATTTAGTATCATTAATATTTTGTATCCAAGTAGAAAAAAATAC